CTCGGTCCGCCCCCCCCCTGCCCCCTGGCCCGCCCTGCCAGCCAGGCAGCTCAGCCCCACCACGCCCCACCCCCCCAACCGCGAAGGGGCTGCACCTCCTGTCCTGCCCTGTTCTCAAGACGCATCCCCACCACCCGCCCTGGCTCGTTGACTGTCCTCTTCCTTTCTCTCCCCTCCATTCCCCGTCTCCATCATGAGGCCTCTGACCTCGTTCAGGCCCCGCCTTCTCCCACCTTGGCACCCCTGCATGCCGGCTAAGTACAAGGGACGCCAAGGCTCCTCAGCCAGCAGCCTGCCCTTGGCTCCTCAGTGCCCTTGGGATGAAGTCAGCTCCTTAACCCCTTTAGGAGGGGCCTCCGGTTTCTCCCCCGTTCTCATCTCCCAGGACTCAGATGGAGCCCAACCTTGGCCGCATATCTGCAGTGCGGTGTTAGGGTCATGCCCATTTTGCAGGCGTCTCTCTGGGAAAGCAGGATCCTTCCAGGAGGGATTGTCTGTCTCTTGGGTTTTCATAGGAGTAGTTCCCAAGCAGCGCCCAGACACAGAATCTTCTGGGTACTTGCTAAAACTGCAGACCAGGCCTGCTCCAGGTCTGGGAGTCTGAATCTCTGTGGATCTGGGATCCCAGAGGTTACAGGCTCCTCCTAGGACCTGCACACAGTGGGTGCTCAGCTCCTGACTGTGGAACTGGACTGACTACAGCCCCCACTGGTCCTGGAAAGAGGTCAGTTCACTCAGGCGCTGCCCTCAGGAAATGTTAGGGGCACATGTGGGGCCTCAGTCCGAGCCCGGGAGAATAGTGAGCCCAGGCCCTATTCTGCGCCGTAGCTTCACAGGGCTTGGATCAGACCAGCCTGAGTTGTGTTCTGGTTCTGCTACGCACCCGCTGTGCGACCTGGGGCAAGTTACTTCACCTCTTTGAGTCTGTGTCCTCATCTGTAAAATGGGGCCACCTATGGGGTCCTCGTGAGAATCAGAAGAGAAAATGTAGGTCACGTGTCCAGCCCTGAGCTTGCCGATCATAAGGGAGACCGCGGAAGAGCCTTTTGCCCCACCCCCGTCTGGTCTTTTGTTCCCGGACTTAGGGAGCAAATAGAATGAGCTGTGTGACCTTGGGGAGCCCATTCCCCTCTCAGGGCCTCAGTCTCCTCATCTGTGAAATACTGCACGGGACCAGGGTCCCCGCGGTTCTCTTCCTGCTTAGAGAAGGCGTGCCGGGTCTCTCCCGGGCCCCGTGCCTGCCTCACCCATCTCCCACCCCTGGTCCCTGCTCTCCAACCTCACCCTGTCCTTGGCTTCCTCCTCCTGCCCCTGCAGGTCTTCGATGACTTCATCTTCATCTTTTTTGCCATGGAGATGGTGCTGAAGATGGTGGCCCTGGGCATTTTTGGCAAGAAGTGTTACCTCGGGGACACGTGGAACCGCCTGGACTTCTTCATCGTCATGGCCGGGTAGGTGGTTCACGCCGGTAAGGCTGGCCCTTGGTGCATGCCGGGCATGACTGAGGCAACCCGTGGGGCTTCTTGGTAGTGACGATGAAGGTGTGTGGTGATGTGGGGTGGGGGAGGCCCTGTAGACCTTGGGGGTGGGGGACTGGATAGACAGGCATTCCTTCCTCCCTTTGTGTCCTGCACAGCCAGCAATGCCGGGCCTGTGTCCTGCTATTAGTAACT